TCTTTGTAAGACTTATCAAGACATAGACTATGCCTTCTAGAAAGTTCACTTTAACATCTCCCAAAAAATCTTACCCCATGTAGGTGCCCATTGTTATGATTTCTATCACCAAGAAAACCTTGCCAGTTTTTGAACTTCATAAGAATGGAATAATTTGCAATTTTGATATTCCTTATTATTTGTAGCCTATGTTTCATTGTCCCATCATACTTTGCTGTATGACTATACCATAATTTATTTATCCACTGATATTTTCTGATGGCTATTTGGAGTGTTCCTTGCATTTGACTAGTACAAGTAACTGTCATTATTACTCCTATAAGACATTTGATGGACATACATACTCGTTTATCTGGGTTATACACCTAGGCATGGAATGCTGGGGTTAAGGAACATTAAATGTAACTTTGTAGATATTTTGAGTCAGTTGTTTTCCAGAATGGTGACTTATATTTTGATCAGCAATGTATGATATTTCTAGTCTTTCCATATCCTTGGTAACACATATCCGCAGTCTTCCTAATTCTAGTCTTTCTTGGAGAGATGTAGTGGTCTCTTATTATCATTCTCATTTGCAATTCCTTGATAAAGAATCATAGCGAGCATACTCACATGTGCTTTTAACCCATTCATGAATTTTCTTTTATGAACACTGGCCGTGTTATCTTTTTTATTTTTATGAGTTGTTTATCCAAACAGGACATAGTTCTTGGATATATCTGTAGTACTACAAATATTTTCTCTGTTTTTGATTTATTTTTTCTTAATGGTATATTGGAAAAACAAAAGTTTTGCAATTTGTTGTTGTCCACTGGCTAGTTTTCCTCTTTTATAAGTAATATTTTTTTGCCTTTTCTGAGAAACATTTACCTTCCCCAATAAAAGAGATATTCTTGTGTATTCGTCTGAGTCACATTTTTACGATCTATATTAAGCCCACAGTCCACCTGTCTGTCTTGCAGTGTGTGTGTGTGTGTGTGTGTGTGTGTGTGTGTGTGTGTGTGTGTGTAAAAAGCTGGTAGAGGATACATTTCTGTTTCTTTCTTTTTTTTTTTTTTTTTTTGTCTTTTTCCTTTTCATTGGTACCAGGGATTGAACTCACGACTGCTTGCTTGCAAGGCAGGTGCTTACGCCGCTGAGCCAAATCCCCAGCCCCCCATTTCTGTTTCTTCCTGAACATTTAATAATTATTATTCTACTTCCATTTATGGACTCTTCCCACTTTTTTGTTTTGGTGCCTTCAAAGCAAATCACAGAAATGCATGTACATAGATATTTCCACAATTGCCATTCTACTCTACTGATCTATTTGCTGATCTTTAACTCAGTATCATGCTACCTTGGTTACCGTAGCTTTGTACATACTCATATAGTAAGAAAATATAGCTCTCCCACTTTCTCAGTCTTCTTCAAAATTGTTTTAGCTAATTTGAATTCTTACATTTTTGTCTAGATTATAGCTATGAAGAAGCCTATGATAATTTTTTTTAAGAGTAAAAAAATTCACTGGAGTAAATAAATGGGAATAGACTACTCCTGAGACACAGGAGGGGCCCAGCGGGTTGCCCTATGACAGTTTGTGATATGTCAAGGGTGTTAACCGATTGAGGAAGAACTGACATTTTAGCAACATTGAGTATTTCAGCCCATTATCACAGGCTGTCTCCCATTTATATGAGTCTTTAATCTTCTTCCAACAGTATTTTGTGGCCTTCTACCTAGAGGTTTTGCATGCCCTTAATTAAATATATTCTAGCAGATTTTATTAATTTATGCTAGCATAAATAATGTTTTTTTATTTCAGTTTTAAGCTGTTTGCTGCCAGCATACAGAAATACAGCTGCACATCGACTCTGTCAAGCTTATTTGCTAGTTCTAGTATCTTTTAAAAAATTTCTCAAAGTATTATGTTTCTGCAAATAAGGATAGCTTTATTTGTGCAATCCTTTCATGATTTCCTTCTAGCTCTTACTTCAGTGGTTACAGTTTCAAATGAAATACTGACTAGAAGTGGCTGCCTTAGATACACTGATCTTGGTATATGAGTGCTCCATATTTCACCACAAAGTACGTTATCCGCAGTCCCTTTTCCAAGCTGTAAAAAGTTTTCCAGTTCTATTTTGCTGAGAGTTCTTATAACTCTCAGTGTGCTAAATTATGTTAAATGTATTCTGTGCATCTACTGAGATGACACAATTTTTCCTTTTAATATGATGAAACATTTTAATTAAATTTTGAATATTTATATTCAAATCATGATATGTGTTCTTTTACTATATTGCTAGATTTGATTTGTTAATATTTTAAGGTTTTTCACATCTACTTTCATGACATATAGTGTGTAATTTTCTTTACTTGAAAAGACTTTGTCAGGGATTATGCTGCAAAATTTCCCTTTTGCTCTATGTAAAAAAATTATATAAGACTGGCATTACTTATTCTTACAATGTTTGAGAGAATTATCGTATCTTAAAAGAGCAGTGGGAACTGAAGTCAGAAATAAGAGGTGGAGTCATTCGAGCCTGGAAGTCTCTTTGTGGGAAGAGTTGCATTAAAAACTCAATTAAAAATAGTTATATGAATATTCAGGTAATTTGATAATTTTTTCTGGTGTCTGTTAAGGTAATTTATCTTTTAAAGAATTTGACAATGTTAACCACCTTGTCAATTTTATCAGCATACATTGTATCTAATATTTTCTATCCTTTTGATATATATACAATTTATAATGATGTTCTTCTTCCATTCACAGTTTTCTCTTTCTTTGATATTGCAAGTCATTTCAGTACTTTTTCAGAGAATCAGATGCTGTCTTTATTAACTTTGTCTATTTTTACTCTATTTCACTGATTTTTGCCCTTATATTTATGACTTCTATCAACTCACTGTGGTTCAGTATCCTTAACTTCACCTAGCTTTTTAAGGTAGAAACACAGATAATTTGATTTTATGTGTTTGTTCTTTTGTAATAAGGAAAATATTTGAAGCTATAAAATTACCTTTGAGCATTGCTTTAGTTGCATGTAACAAACTTTCCTGCAATCATTCGATGTAAAAAAAATCTTTCCTTAGGTTGACAAAAATAATTTTCTCTGACTTCATGTGTGTGTTTTTTCATCTCTAAAATTAAAGATTATTCTTAGAGATTCTTAATATCCCTTTACATGTACCGTTTTTTCTTACTGATTGGTTGAGTACCTAAAACTATAATTATTAATTGACTATGGCAAGTGGTTGCCTATCAAGTTTGATACACTTTAACATCTAGTGTAATTTAAGTGCATTAAAGTATCCAAATATTCTTCAAAACTAATTTTATTATGAAGGTATTGAATTTGGTGTTGCTACTCTGTAACTTTCTCTGAGACTATACAACGCTTTTGAAAGGGAATCATATCCATCAACAGTGGCAGATGGAAACCACAGTTATCAAAATATAGAAATGTATTTAGCACTTACATCTCCAGGGTGACTATAAATTCAACAGATAACATTCTAAATAAGGAACCATATTGAGAAATGAAATAAGCTAAAAATACACACAACAAAGAGCTTCATTAAAGAGGCAAATTGTATAAGAAAGAATTTAGTATGTTCTTGTCTCTTTTTCCTGGCACAAAACTTCAGGAAGCACATGAAATTTCCTGCATGACAGTACTCTTTGATAGACCCTCCACACTAGCCTCAGGATGGGGGCTTCTCACCAGGAAAGTCAACTCTCTGAGTAGAGGTTTGGGCTTGGATCAGTCTGACCTCCTAGGAGAAGAGGAAGACTGGTATTTGAGTTGAGTCACAAAGAACATCATTTAATCAGTGAGGTCCATTTAATGAAGCCCTGATAAATATTCCACACGCAGAAGCTGTGGGCACCTCCCTAAATGTACTGACAATCCAGGGACAGGACACTCCTGACTTCACCTGCAGAAGGCATGGGGCTTCCCTATTTGGATCGTCCCAGGTCTTCTCCTAAGTATCATTTGTACTACCAACTACTGGGTTCAAAATCAATACCCACTTGTTATTAAATTTATAATAAGACTATAAGGTTAACACTTTTCCTGTTTCTTTGGTTTGCATAGAAATGATCAAATGTGGGGTCAGTTGTAAGAATCTCCATATCTGTAATTGGTGGGTTTGCTAAATCAATCTGGCAAGAGACTGGGTCTTTTCCATTTGGAATTCGATGCTGGCTTTGAGTGGTTAGTGCCACATTTGTGTTATGGTTCCCCAACCAGAGTGCAGGGATGACGGGCAGAGCAGGGATGCTAGAAGGGGAAACCATGAAAACAGTTGCAGCCGAGAACACTGGCCATTCACTAGCTCCTCGTTTGTTTTCTAACAGTACTTTTTATTGTTTATGTTGTTGTTTTAGTTAAGCACATGTCCACCCAGCTAAAACTGATTCCTTATGCAACTCTGTGGCAAATGGACTAAATTCTCAACAGTTGATGTACACAGGAGTGTCAACTACTCTGCCCTTGCCCTTTACATCATGAAAGCCACTTCCTGGCTCTGCTCTGACCGCTTAACGGCAGGCAATGATTCTAACTCCTTTCTTTTCTTTTCTTTTCTTTTCTTTTCTTTTCTTTTCTTTTCTTTTCTTTTCTTTTCTTTCTTTCTTCCTTTCTTTCTTTCTTTTTCTTTTTTTTCTTTCTTTCTTTCTTTTTTTCTTTCTTTCTCTCTCTCTCTCTCTCTTTCTTTCTTTTTTCTTTCTTTCTTTCCTTTCTTTCTTCCCTAATGTCTAAGGACCAAGATGTGGCTCTCTTTAAAAGACACATTACATTGCATAGGTTTATTTAATATGAATAAATATTAAAGATGAATAATAATAAATATTAAAGATGAATAATAAATAATAAAGATGAATAAATTCTTCCAAAACCGCCACAAGTACATTGTGCTCAGTGGATAGCAGTGAATCATAAGCTTTGGATCCTGTAAAGAAAGGGTGTACATCATTATACTCGGCCAAAAGCATCTGCACAGTGTGTAAGAGGCACCTGTAGGAAAAACTCCTCCATGAGAGCCGTGGTCCACCGGTAGTGCAGCCTCCAGGACTTGGCTGGGTGGCTGATGTCTGCTGCATGGAGAATCAGGGACATGGTCTTGGCTCTGTCAATCCTGTCAAAGCAAGAACATGTCTAGATTATCAGGACAAAGTAACTGATCTGTCTTTGGTTAATCCAAGCCCAAAGAACTTTACAAGGACAAAAGAAAATCACTTACCCTTCAGGCTGCTGCAAACTGTTCCTTATATTTTTAATCTGCTGGAAGTGACCAGACATATCTGTAGATAATACCATCTCAATCACCAAGTTCCGAAGATCCCTGCAGAGGCATCCAATGGAGAAAGGTCACATTTGGCCCTTACGGGTCTGGATTGGAACATTTCTCTAACTACCTCTAATTACATTGTATTTTTCCTAATGGATATGAACACAGAAGGTACTAGTTTGTAGATGTAAAAGTGCTCATGGAAATTTAACACTATTTTTGCCTTCGACCGTGATGGATGTAAGAAGTTTCTAGGAGAGTAATCTGTGAATAATGCTGTTTTATATTCTCCTCAAGAACAGGTATTTTCTCATCTTACCCCATAACCCTTCTTCCCAGTTTGTAATTTCTACATCTTATTTTTCTATCTGAAAGTAACCTTGACCAGAGACACTATTCTAAATGCATTTTAAAAGTCTTTTTTTTTTAATTTAGTGCATGTTCTGTTCATTTTGGGAAATTGATGATTGCTTTGGGTGAAAACTATGTTGCTCAATGAGGCTCCAGAGCGTTTAGATGCAAATGGTCAGCAAAACCAATAGCCTGAAGGTCTCTGGAAGAGGATGGCACGGATTCTCAAGGTCTCCTTCACTTCTTCCTTACTTTGCATCTTTTAAATAAAATTACTATTCATAAGACCAATACTACTGATCGAGGGTTCATTCAGTTCAGGCACTAACCTACAACCATGCTGTAGTGGCTTTTTCTGTACATTAAAAGGCTGATCCTCACAACAACCTTATTTCCGTTGTTCGTTTTCTATTAGCTGGTTCTAAATACTCTGGAATTCTTGCATTCTCTTGAATGGATTCACACTGTCCTGATATGCTTGATGTTATAGCATATGAAGTTACACACAAATAATTCAAGGAAAGAGGCACTCTGGCGACTACTATTATGTTAGATTATCTGGTGATGAAACACAGTGATGCTTGAATGGTTCGGTTCTGCCCTGCGTTGTTCTGTTACAATGTCCTCTCTTATCTCAATCTCCCCCCTTTTTAAAATTAATCTATTTTCTCTCACTTTTTTTAATTAAGGGAAAACTAAATTAAAAATAGTGGGACATATTATAGTAACTTTCTTGGTTTTCTATTAACCTGATTTGAACCCCAGTATTGCTCTCCCCATCTTGTTCTGTCTGATTATTCTATATTCTATTTTGTTTGATAGTATCGAGTTTGAGGGTATAGGCAACCACTTTGAAGGCAATAAGATATACTATGACGCCCATTATGGTTTGACTATTATCTTTTTTTTTGAAGTCTTGCAAGGTCTTCAGTGTAGGTTTTATTGGTCTTATTCTGTACTGTTTTGATCAATTCTACAACTCAATTTAAAAATAGCAAGAGGCACAATGGTCAACCACTTTTGATCACCTGGTATTCTATTTTTGTATCATATGCTATGCCCACCCTTCTGTTCTAACTGACTCTGTTTTGCTTAGTCACATTTGGTTTTATTCTCTTCAAAACAAGTAATAAGAACCATGGGAGTAATAAAACCCAAAATGTCTAATTGTTATTGTAAAAAAGAGAGGAAAGGAAGGTGGACTAAGGGATATAACCACAAGTACGTTCGAGTGTGTAGGATGGAAAACCATATTACTGAGCTTTTGTTGGATCATTGAACAAAACTGTCTCCAATTTCACTGTATGAATGTCCACTTTATAAGCTTTAATTTTGTAATTTGGACAGCTATTCCTGGGAAGATAATATGTGACCTATTAACTAGTGATTTCTTACTGTATATTTTTTTCTTGAAATATTGTATTATTTGTACCCTTTTACTGCTTTGTTTTTTTATGTCCTTTCTTTTTTTCTCTTTAAATAAAAAAAAAAAACAACCTTATTTCCTGCCACAGAAAACAGAGTTGTTGGCTTATCACCAGCCCTAGTACACAGTGAAGGTAAATTTCAATCTAAGAGTTTCCACTCCCATAGCTGGCACCTGGATGACTCTATCATGTCAACCTCCCATCCCACTGTAACTACCCCACAGAACCCAGATACTGAAGTGATTGACGATTTTTTGTTTCAGCTTTTGGGACCTTATAGAGGCATGGGCACTACTGAAATTTTCAATCAATACATTAAATACAGTGACTATACCAATAAGCCTATGCATGAATAACTCATTCTCACATTAAGGAAAAAGCAAATCATTCCAGCCAAAGCTGACATTAATTACAATTAATTCATTGTTAATTCAGTAGCAATAGGTAAAATGTTACTCACACAGGAGACCATCCTTTATTTTCTCTCTGCAATGTGGCTAAATCAAGTGTGCAGTAAACCTGAATCATGATCTCATGTCAAAGATAATTTACCTAAAAGCAGTATAATCAGATGATTTTTAAAAAAAGTATTACAGTTTGTTGTTGAAAATTGTGGGTATTCAGATTCAATCTGACTTTTAGAGCCATGAGAAATCAAATTCTTCTATAATTATAATATTAGGTACCTTGCTTAGAATGCTTGACTCAACTATTAAGGCAAATAAAGCTATTAAATATAGTGAATCAAATTATTTTCAATTATATTTTGTCTCTGAAATTATAAGATCCACACTAAAATAGCAACTGAAAAAAATATTGTTAACTAGGAAAATGAGATTCTAATTTTGAAAAATCTGTACCTAATATACTGTACTTTGTGCATAAGTGATCAACAAATGTCACATAAAATATCAATAAAGTAGACAAAATAGTACACAAGGGAAATATTGATTATGATCATTTTCTTGCCAAACTTTTTACATTAGTGCCTTTAAGTTAGGAAATAGATATGCACGCAGAAAATCTGCAAGTCTTTAAGATATTCATGTTTTAATTGTCAGTAAAATATTATCAAGATTTTAGACACAAATAGATCTTTTGTGAATTTTAGAGAAATGTTGACTATTAAATTCTAAAATCCATTAATTCCATAATTCATATGATATGCATAGTATTTGTTAAACAATGTTGTAAAAATATTCAAGTAGGATGACAGAAGTTACAAAAAATAAATTTACAGTAATAAATTATTAGAGTAACACATTAAAGATGGTAAAAAAAGCAAGAAATAAAATCACACTGAAATATCAAGAAATTCAGCTATGGGAGAGAAAAAAACGTTAATTCAAAAGAATAACAACGAAGTTAACATTAAAAGTATTACCTCTGACAATGAGAATGACTGGTGAGAAATAAATAATCTACATGTAAATAATCACTCTCCGACCTTGGGTAATATAGCTGGGCTTTGTCAGCTTCTACCTTATCTTGTCTGGTCCCCATGTAGCCTGGCAGTAGCACTTTAAGTGCTTTTACAGTTAAACCCTGACCTTCCCAGGGTGGAAATCCTCTTCAGAGCAAATGAAAGGTCCTAACTGTATCCTAAAGCAAGCATCCCTTCCCCTGTTCACAGCGTTTTCTACAGCTGCAAAGTGAGCCCGTATTTCAGAAACTGCCCTTTAAAAACCAGGAGGTAATAGAAATTTGAAAATGCAACCACAGGATGAAAGGTTGCTTTGAACTGATTTTACTTCTTTTTTTTTTAATTTTTAAAAGGTATTTCTTGATTCCATGTTGCTTTTCTTTTCACATTTCTTTTTAACTTGCTGGTGAATAAAAATAAAAACAAAACTTTTGATATAGATATTTGAGTAGGCATCTTTGCCACGTCACTTGCTACAAGACCTTTGTTAAAGATAAACACAAAGTTTTTTTTTAAAGCAAAACACAGACTATTAGAGACATCCTTACATTGAAAAGATTTTATGTTTATGATTCTTATTTAATTGGGCATCCTTTGCAGTTTTTTTTTTTAAATGACAACCACAGGCTGAAAAGAAAAGAGTTATGTGGAGTAGGACTAGATCAGTAGCGTGTTATTTTTCCCTACATAGCAATTAGCATCACCAGACCACGTAATTTTTTAAGCAGATCCTCAGAGAAACATACAAGATTTCCCTGCACACTTGGGCCACTTTAGTATATTTGTGAAGTTTTGTACAAAATACTTGCAGTTTTTTTTTTCTTGTAAGCTTCATCTCACATATGGAAGAATAATACATGATGCTAAAATTTTGAATTTATGTAAGACCACATATTGGCATACTCTGGTACAAATTGACACACTGCAGACAGTATAATTTTGTATTGTACTTATTGTGTGCTTGTGGTTTTGTACTTGTGTACATATGCTGACTTGACCTGAAAACATTTCAGACCCATTGCACACAGCCTGCTCCTGAACAAAGGCTTCTAGATACTAATCCTTACAGAGCTATTTAGCCAACAATAATGAAGCTTGTAATATGGCCAAGGCATGGCATTTCATCTGTTTTCTTTGCTTTAAATCACTGAATTGATCCTTTTTCTAAAATTAAATTTCCCTTAGGTTTCCTCTGAAACTCACCTCCAGTCATCTTTAGATAAATTTATCAAGATGTTCATTTCTTCTTCTTGCATAAGGCGGTAAGCAGCGCTCACGTGGTGATTCTCAAGGACGGAGCGATCGTTGTACAGAATGGCAACATCTGATCTAAGAATGAAAGACAAAATTCCCACACAGCATTTGGTTAGTCTTTGTGAGAATAAAAGATACTCAAATGTCAAGTCGTTTCACCAGCAAAAACCTTATAAATGAACATTTAAACTATGGAAGTGGTTTCTTTTATAAATGCTTATTTTTAAATTTTACATGGACCTTATGTTTTAGAGCAAGTTTAGGTTCAGAGCAAAATTGCAGATTGGACACAAATTTTCTGTACACTTTCTGCCCCCACACATGCATAACCACCCCGGTTTTCAACATCTCCCAGGGAAAGATACGTTTGATACAGTTGATGAACCTAACTCACACAACGTTACCACTTGATGGCCAGGGTTCCCTCCTGGGCTGAACACCTTTGGGTTTGAATAAACTGTATAATGACGTTGGGGACCATGGTGGTATCACATACAGCAGTTTCACTCTCCTGAAACACCTCTGTGCTCAGCCTGTTGGTCTTTTTTGCCTCCAGAACCTGGTTAACAACTGATCTTTTCATTGCTATGTGGTTTGGACTATCTAATCTGTTGTGATTTCAGATTGGGTCTTTTCACTTACTAATATGCATTTAAGTTTCCTCTGTGTTTTTATAGGTCTTGACAGCTCACCTCCCATGAACACGGATTAATGTTTGATTGCCAGGTTTTAGCACAGTTTATCCATCCATTCACTTCTGGAGGGAAATTTTGGTCGCTTCTCAGTTTTGACAATTATGAACAAAGCTGCTGTAAACATCTGTGTGGATGTAAGTTTTCAACTTGTTTAGGTAAATGCCCAGAATGTACTTCCAGGATCATCTGGTAAGAGCAGATTCAGTCATGTAAGGAACTGTGAAGATGTCATTCAATGTGGTAATTTTGCATCTCAACACATTCTCATCAGCACCTGGTCTGGTGTTCTGGACTCTTTGGCCATTTCCAGAGAGACACAGTGGCATCTCCTCTCAAGTCTGCAGCATAGAGCATCTTTAATAGGCCTCTATGCTAAACCTAGATCATTTTTGCTGAGATGCTTAACAAAATCTTTGGTTCTCACTTTCGCTGGGCTATTTTCTTATTGCTGAATCCTAAATATTCTTTCTACATTTCGATATGGCCAGTTGCTAGATATATTCTCGGCAAATATTTTGTACCAGTTTGGACTATATTTTCATTCTCTTAACAGTGTCTTTGGTAGGTCCTGAAGTTTTTATTTCAATGAAATCTAGCTTCTTCTTTCATTAATTGTACCTTTGGTGCTGTATTTAGAGTCATTTCTGGTCCCAAGGTCATTACATTTTCTCTTAGGTGATCTTCTAGGAATTTTATAGTTCTGTGTTTTATGTTTAGGCCTGTGATCAGTTTCTTTTGTGTGTGTGTGGTGTTTGGGATCAAAACATCTGTGATGAATACAAGTTAACTTTGCGAAGTCTGTAAGGTCTGTGTCTGGCATATTTTGTGATGCTGTAATAGAATACTAGAGAATAAGTACTTTGTTTATAAAGAATAAGAATTTATTTCTCCTGGTTCTGGAGGCTGGGAAGTGCGAGGTGAGGCATCGTCACATAGCGTATGGCTTCTCATTGTGTTACCACATGGAAGGAGGCAATGAAGGCCGGAAGAGCATGAATCCCAAGGCAGCCAACCTAGTCCTAAGAACTTTTGATAATGGCGTTAATCTAGCCAGAAAGATGGAGCCACGAAACCTACTTGCTTCCCATTAATCTTCCCCTCCCCGAACTGTTGCAATGGGATAAAGGTTCCAATACATGAATTCTTGGAGATACATTCAAACCATACAGGACGTGAGCAGAATGTTTTGGCATATGAATGTTCAGTACTTTTTTCTAGTACTATTATTGAAAGGATTATCTTTGCTCAATTTTATTGCCTAAATCTTTATATGTTCTTTCTGGGACTTTCTCTTCTATCCATTTATCAACTTGTCTATTCTTTCACTGATATTGTCTGGTCTCTGTAGTTTTGTAATTACTCTTGAAGCCATGTCGTATCAGTCTTTAAACTTTTTTTCCTTTAATATTGTGTTGGCAATTGTAGGTATTTTACTTCCCCATATAAACTCTTTCTGAAAATATACAAAAATAATATGCTGTCATTTTAACTGGGACTTTGTTGAATCTATAGGTCATGTTGACAGGAAACGACATCTTGACAATATTTAGTCATTCTATCCAGGAATGTGAGCCATCTATTATTTCTTTGATCAGTTTTGTTTTCCTTATTTGGTCTTTTATGTATTTTGTTACACCTATACCTACTTTTTCAATCTAGGGTTAATAATGCAAATGCTGTTTTTTTCCATTTAAAATTCTATTTTTTCATAGCTGGTGTATGAAAAAACAAGAGACTCAGAATGGACCTTTGTCTATCCTAAAATCTTGCTGTAATGAATTTTTAGTTCTGGGGTTTGTTTTCTGTTATTATTGATGACATTGTAGTCATTGTTGTTTTGTTGATTCTTCCAGATTTTTTACATAACCTGTCATATCATTTACAAACGAAAATATTTTTTTTTCTTCTTTCCAAATCTTCATTTCCTTTCTCTCCTTGTCTTATTGCATTAGTTAGGATGTCCGGTACGATGCTGAAAGTCAGTGGTGAAGAGAAAGCATCCTGGCCTCGTTCCTGATCCTTAGGAGAAACACATCAGGTCTCTTACCATTGTGGATGATACTTTTGTTTGTAGATTTTTTTCTGATTCATTTATTTATTTTTTAAATTGCCAGATAAAATCGTGTAGGTTTGAAACATTATGTTTTGAAACATATACATTTTGACTGTTTAGATTTAATTAACATTGTACATGACAATGCCTAGTTATTTTTGTGTGGTGAAAATATTTAAAATCCACTTTGCAAGAAATTTTCAAGGACACAGGCACTGTAATTAACACGTCATCATGCTGTACATGGATCTATTTGAACCAGGCCCTCCTAAATGAAGTTTTGCTCATTTGATCAACTCTCCCTATGCTCCCCAGTGACCACTATTTGACACCAGGAGGTAGACTCTGTTAAGTGGAGAAAGTCTCCCTCTGTTGATTGACAGCTGACTGAGTTTTTATCATGAGTGGGCGCTAGATTTTATCAAATGCTTTTTCTTCACCTATTGACATAATTCCTATAATTTTCTTTCTTCATGCTGCGAGGGTGATGAGTTATATTAATTGTATTTCAAATGCTGAACCAGGCATACAGACCTCGAGTAATTTACACCTGGATATGATGATTATTTCTCTTTTATCTACCACAGTTTAAATATGTTTATATCTTTTCCTTTTATTTTGTATTTCAAATACTTGTGAAATACTCTAGATAGGACAAAAGAAAATAATCTTGATTCAATCAGTGGATGAATAAGCCCCTTCACACCTAATATAGATACCTGATCATGACTTTCATTCCGTTGAACTGAAATTACTCCAAGTAGGGATTAGAAAGGATGATGAAAATCTTGCATCTATTTGTGTTTTGAATTTTACTTCCTTAGTCATTTGTGATTAATTCTGAAAACTGTACTTTTTTTGCTTTAAATGAAAATGAAGAAAATAATTTTTAATCAAAGCTTAAAATGTTTTACCTCCAATTTATAATGCTCATTTTATTTTTAAAATGATGAATTCATCAAGGGAAGTTTTTGTTTATTTTCTGCCCATATTTTCAAGCAACATGATCATTAAATGAACTACTTCAAGTTTCTCTGATGAATTTAATTCTCTCGGGTACAATCTGAAGCTTTTCAAGTATTCTCAATTGTGCATAATAGAGTCTGTGTGCTTCCATTCTCCATCTGCCTGGGTTTCAGAACATTTCACAGGTGCTCAGATCATTTCACTATGCTCAACAAGGTCTTAAAGTGATAACCCAGCTGACAAAGTAGAAGCAGACAGAAAAATTCATAGCAAAAGGAACTGTTGTGTGGCAACTGTTACTACACAATTTGGGACCCAGTCTGCCTGCACATCTTCCTCTTGGTGAGTTCATTGCTGTCAGGTATAAAATTGCTTCCTTCAAGAATCATGGTCCAAGTTTGAGCCCACTCTGAGCAGCTTAGTGACTTAGGGAGAACTTGTCTCAGAACAAAAATCTCTGGGGATGTAGCTCAGTGCAAAGGCAGTGGGTTCAAGCCCCCGGCCTGGGGCTAGGGGCTGTTCTAGGTTTACAATGTGTACAGTCCTAGTAGTAACCTAGTTCTTCCCCTGCCACTGACTTTTTACTGAAGAAAAGGCCGCGATGAAATAAAGAAAGAACAAAAGTGGCCACTAGAATAAAATGGGTAGCTGTGCATATGTTAATATGCTTCACTATTGCAAAACTGTTTTACTATCTATATGTATCCCACAATATCATGTCATATACCTTATATAAATACACACAAATAAATGTATTTTTATAAAACAGCTAAAGAAAGACGGCATTGCTGCAAGCATTCTATTCAAGATCTGTAACTGAGTTTACCAGATAAACCAAGATTTATTATTTATCAACATAAGAAATAATAAATTAGGCACTAAAATAATTTTTGTCTTTTTTCCAACACTGTGATAAAGATGAAAAGACGTGTATTTACATGCATATCTACAGTGTAGTTTTTAAAAATTTCAGTATACTCAGTTAAGATCTGAAAACCTTGAACTGCTAATCATAGCTCAATATAGAAAAAAATGAATCAGGAAAGTTTATAGATGTAATCCTTGTTTAAGGGACAATTAAATAGATCTCTTTCCTGAATAAAAGGCCATGCCATGTGTGTTTTCCAAAATTTTCTGATACTATAAGAAAAACTAATTTTCTGATACTTTCCTTTGTATCACATGGACCCAATCCGGCTTTACCATGTTTATATCAGAGCAATTCCAAGTGTGTATCTCTATCTTTGCATTCAGAAATAACAAAGATGTGTTGAACCAGATTCAAGTGTAGCAAAATGTGTGGTTTTGTCTCACAAGTTGAACAGGGATGAGGAAAAGAACAAAACTCAGCAGCATCCAGTATCCATGGTAACATGCAGCTCGGCACTTTTTTTTTCCGCAAAGAGGAAATTATTTCCATTTATTTACACTTTCAAAGATTGTATGCATTAAAATATCGGTATTGAACTCACCTCAAGCCTTGCTCTATGTTCTAAGTTACTTTTCAGTCATTTTGCATCATACACTAAATGAATTTCCATATTAGAAAAGCACTGTAAATCTAAGTAATACAAAATACAATAGAATTATTGAAATCAGTGACATGTGACCTTATTTCTCTTTCTATATAATGTGACGGTACTAGGGTTTTAGAAACAGATTGCTGTACTTTGGGCATTAAAATGCTTGTATTCACTTTCAAATTTGTGTAGAATTAATCCATTAAAGGAATTAGACAATGTATAAGAGAATATGTAAAATACAAAACTTCGCTTTTATTTTTATGTAGTTTCTTAATAAAAAATCAGGAAAGATTTATATTTTTCCTCATCCTCTCCTCTTCCTTCTTTTCTTTTTCCTCCATCTCATCCTCATCTTCCATCTCCTTATCCATAAATTAAAACACCAGTAAATCAGGACTCTACATCCAATTGTAGATGATTAGTAAAGAAAGAAAGTGATACTCTAACACCACGTCTTAAGAAGTCCCTTGTTAATAAATCACTTGCTTTCTTCTCCAAATAGAAACACTGTTGTCCTATACAGATCCCAGATAATGACTTGTTTTCATTAAAACCATCAGGGATTCGATGTATGTAAAGATGATTTGGTAAATAAAAATGATAAACATGGTCTTCTTTTCTTTTTATGGTTATCACAGATAAAAGCAGCAGAACTCCTTATACTTTGTAAATACATGTAGGTGAGTAATATCCCGGCTGTTCAAACAGTTCCTTCAGATTCAACCACAGCAAGATAGCTTTCTTTTCCAAGGCATTTTTCTTTTCATTTTATGTCTCTCTGACAAACTTGGTATTCCTTTCCTCCAGGAAAAGAGAAGATGTCTTCCCCAATATTTCACTGTTTGAATTTCAACTCTTTCTCTGTCTCCATCAGGACCTATGATGTATAAACCCATCCCATTTTCACTGCAGAAGGCTGGATTCTCTGTCTGTCTCCGGTGCTGGGAGCAGAGTTATCAGTAGCAGGTTTGAGTGTGTGTCCTTTCTTGGTTTCTCAGGCCTCACACTGCATCACCTACTGTGCGTACAAAGAGCTCACTTTACCTCTAGAGATCTTCGAATTTTTAAAAGACTTACCCTCTGAGATTTGGTACAGACAACCTATAATACAGATTTCAGTCACTCAGGGTTAACTTCAAGTTCTAAAATATCTACTATTTTAGCAAATGCTTTCCATATTAACACATCAAAGCAATAACTTTTTATACCTGGAAAATTGTTAGAAGTACATTTATTTAAAAAAAACACAAAACAGTCACATAAAACTTTCATAGTTGTACTTATTTTCAAGTTTTTTCACAAATGTCAAAATTTAGAAATAACCAAGGTTTCCTCCAATAAGTGTACCCCATTAATAAAAATAGTATTCGTTAATAAAAATGAGCTATCAACCCTTGAAAAAAACACAAAGGAATCAAAAATATAGCTATAAATTAAAAATTAGCCTAAAAAGCATATAGTATATAATTTCAACTACATTGAATCAATTTGAAAAGGAAAGCAATAAGGTCTTAAAAAGATCAGTGTCACCAGAAGCAAATAATAAATTGGTGAATCATGGGGATGATTAAGGTCGGGAAACTACGTATCGTTAGGGTATTACAGTAAGGGATAAACACCATTGCACATCTGTGAAAGCCATAGAATCTATAAACAAAAACTAAACCCTGAGGGTTCTAGACTGAAATCTACCTCTTGGACCATGAGGTCTAGCTGCCTAACTAGAACAAGATCAGAGGGCCTTTCTGATATAGACTGAACTATGTCTCTGCAAAAAATCATACATCCAAGTCTCAACCACTGATGTGACTCTATGTGAAAATGGAGACCTTGCTATGGTTCAAACCAAAAGTCTTCCCAACATCTCCCTCACACAGAGGTGGGCCTTTGGAAAGGTGATTAAACTACGGGGAGCAATGCTCATTAGTGGATTGATTCTGTATTGCCAAGTTAATCTCTGAATATCCTATTAGTGAGCAGGCCTTTGGGGAGGTGACTCACTCGGCATCACATGGAAGGGTGTATTCTTGCCTAAGGCTCTTCTCTTCTTTCTCTGTTTCCTGGCTATCCTGAGCTGAGCCATTTTCCTATTCTAGACCCATCCACTGTGCTATTGCCGCTCTGAAAGGAATCCTCTGAAAACTAGGAATTAAAATAAATCTCTTCTCCTTTAAACTCCAGGGTATTTTGTGCTAGTGTTTGGAAAGTGATGAATACAGAATGCTAGTGGCTGCAGTAGGATTACAGCTGTGACTGTTCCTAACCACGTGGCTTGTTAGAGGAGTTTGGAAAGATTTGGGGATGCTGGTGAGAGAAATTCTAGAATGTTGTAACCTGAGCTTAATGTGTGATCCTGGTTGCAGTTCCTCAGAATATGGACAGTAAAGGGGAAGCTTATGAAGTTCCCGTTGGGAATGAGGAATCCAGTGGAAACTGGACTCACGGCCACGCACTTCTGGCACAAATGTTTGCCTACATTTTGTTCATGTTTTAAGACTTTGTGTGAAGTTGAATTTAAAAGTGGTGGACTAATTGATTTAGCAGAAGAGTAAAGGCTCAAGGGTATAGAAAGATAAACTTTGAAAACTTTGCTTACAGGAGAGAGCCTCAAGAGAGCCCTCACTCAGAACTTTCTAGGGACGTGTTTCACAGAATGTAGCCATGCACGCTCTTAGAGGGACTGCAGTCATAGCCCAAGAAGGCCAGGTAACTGCGTGAGCTGGTGGCAGACCTTGATGACATGGTGCTATAATTTTTCAGGCACACAGACCACCACAGTTGGAAGGTTCCACTAGATTTTAACGAAAAGGCTGGGAAGCCAGGCAATGTCCCCATAGGGCAATGTATGAATCTGTAAGAGTGAAGCTATAGTATATGGAGACCCCAGGAAGTCAGAGATGCCAAGGAAGTGACACATCCGGGGAGAAAAGCTGAAGCAAGTAAGCAGAGTCAGCCCGAGACAGAGGACACGTGGCTGCAACCAGGAAGGCCAAAGGGGAAGGGCAGTGCTGGGGAGCACATGTCTCACCGTAATTTGCTTGGATCCAGTTTCTTTCCATGCTCCCTTCCTGCTTGTTAGAATGAGAATATTTACCTTATGCCATTGAAAGTTGGAAACATTTAATTTTTTTTCTGAGAATTTATTATTATTCTTATTATTGTTATTATTATTTTGGTACCAGTAATCAAACTCGGGGCCTTGTGTTTGTATTTGCCAGGCAGGTGCAGTGCCATTGAGCTACATCCCCAGCCCTTACCCTTTATTTGATTTTCACAGGAGGCTCATAGCCTAGAGTTTGCCTTGTATCTCGGAAGAGACTTTGGATTTGAACTATTTCAGTGAAGCTGAAGTTACAACTTTAGCAACTCTTCGAAATGGACTAAGTAGATTTTACAAAATAAGATGAACATGGATCATTTAGGGTCTAGGCATAGAAGGTTATGTTTTAGAACTAAAATACCCCCTCAGAGATGAGATCGTTTGGAAGGTGACTCAATCATGAGGGTCCTTTGCTCGGCAGTGGATTAACTCACTGTTGAAAGTGCAGTTAGAAGTGGGCCCTGATCATAGATGGGTCAATCAGGCTTAACCTGGAAGTGTGTGTTACTGTCTCCAGATCCCCCCTTCCCTCTGTTTTCCAGTTTCCATGGAGTGAGGAGATTTTCTGCACCAGGTCCTTTTACTAATCTATGTCCACCTTGGATCCAGCCAACCACAGACTGAATCCATGAGCTAAAATAATCGTTTTTCTTTAAGTTACAAGTATCTGGTATTTTGTCCCAGGGATGAAAATGTGACTAACACGATCCTCAAAGATATACTCAGAGTTAATTGATGTAATATAAGGATAAGGCTCAAATCCAATATGACTGATATCATTATAGAAAGAGAAGACACCAGGGGTGTGTGCACAGGGAAAAGACCAGGTGAGGGCACAGCAAAAAGGCGCAAGTTAGGGAGAGAGGTCTCAGAAGAAACCTTATCTGACAAATCGGTCTTAGATGCCCAGCCTCCAGAACTGTGAGAAAATACAGACTGTTTAAACTACCCAGTCTATGATAGTTTGTGTTGGCATCCCTAAAATTAATATATAGGCAACATTACTCTTTTGATTCAAATAACTGCCATTACACACAAAGGGATCTCATTTTTCAACTATATAGTATTTTATACTAGTCTGGAAATTACATTTTTTTGATTTCAATATTTTTCTTCAAATGGGAAGCCAAAGCTATAAACAATATATTGTAAAAACCTGACTTAGCGAATACAATTTGACTCGTGTGCTGGTTCATTAATATAAGTTCTAGGGAGACAGAATTTTTCCTATTTTATGTCCCTAAAGTTGCTACCTATACTGTAAAATATATATGTTTCATAAAAATTAGTTGATTGATTCAAATGGCTATAGCTTCAAAACTTTTTGCTAAAAATCTGTTAAAACTAGCTTATTCAAAACTTTATTTTTAAAAGAAATTTCTCTTGGCATTCTATGCAGGAGAACAAATTTTCAGATTTAACATAAAATAAATATTAACACTGATAAAACTTACCTTGTCTGAATATGGAAGTTGTTTGTGGTCCCTGTATGCTCGTAATCATGAATGGCAGCAGCAAAGACCATTGCTAAAATTTCCAGTTCAGTGAGCCAGTGCTGATAAATTAAAGGAAGATTCATCATGTTTATGCGGCAGAGGCCATCTTCAATTATACAAAACATTCTCAGTGATTTCAGTGTAAGTGATCGTATGCAATTACAGTCCTTTTAAATTTTCTTCCCTTTCACCTCCATTTATTATACATAATACGTGTCTCATGAGGTCAGTGATTACTTCATGGCTTAAAACTTCATTTAAAATTCAAAATATAATTAGTCTCACTAGTTGAAAAACGAGTAATTTTCTATGGTTTAAAAGATTAGCTGATTTAATGTTAAATTCACAGCCTTACCAGTCTGAATTCTTATGAAGTCAATTATAGTTCATTAATTTTTGACATATAGATCACTCAAGGTTAAAATATATGTTTAGATCATTGTAAAAGGCCCTACTATGAGAAATTTTTCTAACTAAAATTTGAAAATATTTACTTTGCTTATGAAAAAATTTCATGTGTGTATTTAAAGATTTAGATGAGTTTCTGAGAATTTATCAGATTTTTTATTTATATCAAATATAGCAATGTGCCATTAAACCCAATAATTATGAAGTAACACACATGGTCTATCTACTTCATATATTAACTGATCTGTTTATTACTAACTGGATAGCTTACCAAATTTTCTCTACTATTATAAATTTACTTAGTAATAATTTAATAGTTTGTTCATTGTCCACATTCTGTACAACCCTTTCAGTGCACTGTCCAAGGTGATAGCCACCTGTGACAACTTAAAACAGAAAATAAATAAAATCTAGTAGATCTATTTCACCCAGTTGCACCAGCCACGGTTCACATATATTCTGTGCATCTGTGGTAAGGGGTTCCCCTGGTTACAAACACACTACACAGGTTTTCCCTTCTCATGGAATATCCTGCCAAGCATGGTGGTGCACACCTGTAATCCCAGCACTTGGGAAGCTGAGGCAGGAGGATTAGCAAACTTGAGGTCATCCTGGGCTATAAAGTGTGTTCAAGGCCAAGCTGTACTATATACCATGATATTGTCCCAAAAAGAAAAAAAAGCACTATTAGATAACACTACAACTGGATGGTATTTGAGAAAAGGAATGGAGGATTCAAAATAATATGGTGCTTGGTGCTTGCCCTTAGTGCTCTCATTCCATACATTTGAAACAAATAAAGACCTAACACAAGACAACAAGGAGACTATCACATTAACTGTACCACACTTGATAAAGGTCAGAGGGTAAAGATGCAAGTTCAAAGCAGGTAGAAGGGCTATTTGGTGAAAATGGATTTTGAAACAAGGATAAAGACTGGTAATTAAGTACAAAGCTGGGGACAGAGGGATTTTAAATAGGAAAGGCAAATATGCTATGAGACCGAGGGATTGTGTTGTATTGAAATAGAATTGCCTGTAGGGCAGTTTTGTTGGAGAGTGCAGCAAATGGTCTACCTTGATTAGAATTTAAGAATTTGAATTGCATAAGAAGGCAGGAGCCACTGAAGCTCCACAAGTCAAAAATGAAGGAGGCGACATCTGTCTTACTGATCATTGTCCTCTTCATCGCACCTACTATGGTACTTAGCACGTAACATGGGAACTTAGTATTTGTGTGCTGAACTGAATTTCACCAGTTATTCACGAGAAGGAGCTAGTAGGAAGCAGTAGAGAGGAACTCTGGAATCAGACAATCCTAGTTTTAAATTTGTTGATCCTCAAGAAAACGAAGATATTTACTCTTTCAGCTATCAACATAGGATTAATGATCATTCCTCTGTGGGGTTCTAAAAGGAGTTTAGGGTTAATATACAGACTGTGCCCATGCCTATCCTAAGCTTTGGCCTAGAGTGACACACAGAACATGCAGTGTTCTTAGTGAGCTTTACATTGTTTAAGGCACTAAATGTGGAAAATAATAGCCATGGTGTTTGTGCCTCAAAGCCAGCTAAGCATGGATTGAAACTCTGAAGCCATGAGCCATAATGTCTGTTAGACATTTTCTCCCTTAAGCTTTGTATGTCAGATATTTTATCCCAACAATGAAAAACTGCCTAATATAAAAGGAAGCATTTTTCATGTTGCAGACAACAAAACTGAATTCTAAAGAAAAGTACCAACAAGCTGATGGCCACAAAGCTATCTAATGACAGAGAAGAAATTGAATCTCAAATTTATTCCAAAATTTCTGTTCCTTGTGTGGGTCCTAATAGTGTGTGTTACTCAAGAGAGGCATCATACTAAACACAATCTTCTAAGGTTTTGAAAGCAAAGTGTCTAATTAATTTAATGATACATAAATGAGTAAAAGCTAATAGAGGTTTAATCTAAGACAATTTTCATACCTGAGTGTGGTCTATGAATGTTTTTTTTTCTATCTTGTTGAATAGGCTAAGATAGTTCATCATGATTCGCCTAAAAAGTATGTCATAATAATTAGTAACAGGTTGTTTGTTAACAGCTGTGTATCTTGGGTTTTAGGTTGAATGTATTACAAAAAATATTTAATGGCTTCACATGGCCTTTTTTTTATAAGGTAGTATTTAATTCATTTTAGTGACAAGGGAGCCAAGGTAGAGAGGTAGTGAGTTAGTAACTGATGGAGAATAGTTTTAAAACTATGTTTCCTAAAATCAGGCTTTTCATCGTCTTCTGAATGATGTGGTTTGAGAAGCCATTTACAAGAAAAAAATGTCCAAATAGTTTGTAGAATACAGGCATAGTGCCACATGCTTTTGTAGATTGATCAGAGAAAAACTGAGTCATTACAAGTATAGGAAACTGCTCTTGGGCATAGTCAGTGAAATACAAGTTTCAGAAATAGATCTCAAGTCTTCTTTCTCTCTTTCTCTCTCAGAGCATTAGAACAAGCTGCCAATAACCCTCAAATGCAAGTGTTCTCTGACCAAGGCCAGGAAATGACATCATATTTAAAGAGACGGCTGGAGGTAGCCGGCAACACTCCACAAAGCACTGTGCTTTACCAAATAGATTGAGTTTCTGTACATCACTGTCATTATAGTGCAGGGATCCAAGTTGATCAAATGACAAAAGGAGGAAGGAGGCCAGTAATTGTACCAGCATCTGTACCAGCTCCGTTGCCTCTACACTGTCTGCTCTCAGGCTTAAGGATGTCCTTAGTGACATTAACAAACAAGGATAGTGGCTTCTTTGCTATCTTTTTCTGGCAACAGTTCTCAGAACATCTTGCAGGTGACAAGATGCATTAGTCACCTGACAGTGCTGGGCTGCTACCAGAGTGCTGCATAAATGTCACACTGATAAGGCCATCCTAAAATAGCAGAGCATCAACCCCAACACTAAGTGAAGTAACCTAGTCTACGCATCAAGTCTGAAGGATGAGAAAGGACTGAAGAGTTCTAGCTAAACAAATAATTTTGTGATCCCTTTTCTTTTTCCAAAGACTGGGTGGTGGTTCCAAGAACCAACACATTTCTATGTATGGAGATTAATATCAAATTTCAGCAAAGTGTCAAGCTGCAAGTTTGACAAAAGAGTCAACACATTTGTGAATTTGTTCGCCTTCCTTTATACCATCTGTTGTAAAATTGTCATTATTCTCCTAAATGCATTTGTCTTGTCTAACAAGACTGAAGGTCTATTGCCAGACTATTTTTTAACTACCAAACTGAGGGGGAGGAAAGAGCCCACTGATGCATTTTTGCAAAAGAATGAAAATCAGATCAGAAACCCATTTCCATGCCAGTCCTCCTGAAGCAGGGAAAGGTACATTTATTTTTGATGAGTTTCCCCTGAAATGGCTACATGATCAATGCTAATGGCTTCAACACTCTTAGAGTTGGAAGGAACCAGATTCTCCAGTCTTTCAGTGAAGACAAAATGGCTGATGATGCCCCACAACAAATCTCTAATATAAATCTGAGCGTAAAATCACAATATGGATTTGAATTTCTCTATTTACTTACAAGTATGACAAACCTTATCTCTTCCATGTCATCTTTAGACCTTCAGACCACAGGTTCTGAAGCTAAAATAGCAGAGTTTATTTCACTGTCTTTATGTTTCTTCCAAACAAAACCAAATATATCTTTATATATGTATATATCTATAGATAGATAGATAGATAGATAGATAGATAGATAGATAGATGTTTGAGTAGAAACACATTTTAAAATGATAAGATTCTGGTTACTTTCCCATCTGAAATGACGTATGTTTTCTCATCTGATTTTAAAACAAAGCAGATATTTTATTACACTGAGGTAGGCTCTGGCTTTCCATTTCATCTTGTTCTCAGGAAACCCAATCAAGTTCAGTTTCCATTGTAAAGTGACATTTAACTGTGTCATTTTTTTTTTTAGTTAACTTTTTCAAAGCCATAAAACTCAAGAAAATTGAAATGCCAGACACTTGAAATAAAAAATCACCTTGCCATCTCCAATACAGGGCCAAGACCTTCGTAGGCAAAAGCTAGCAGATCTAAGCAGGAAGACACTACAGCTGCTCCCCAGTCTGACAGCACTGGCAGCTGCCGGCAGGCCCTGTGTCTTCACACTAACACACCACGCAAACCAAAGGAAGTGAGGAAAAGGGTTTAAGAGCCAGCTGTGACAGTGAAGCGTCACTCCCCCAAAGCTATAGATGCATGCACTATGTATGCACGCACACATGTAGGAACAGTAACAACAGATAAAGGAGCTGAAATGTATGACCTCTAACAGCTTTTTAAAAGGATTAATTCATAATTTTGTCTTAGGCTGCGTATTTCTATGGAGTTGCGATAAAATTCCAAAAAAAAATCTTGAATTCCCAGCTTGGCTCCCCGCCATTAACTGTACCAACTGCCAGATACACGAGTGACCACCCTGGACACATGACCAGCTCTGGTCCTGGTCCCAAGAGAGACCCCAAATGAGTTTTCCAGTTGGGACTCTTCTAATCACAACCACTTGAGAGACAATAAGGAATTACATTTTTTTTCCTGGTACCAGGCCCTGAACTCAGGAGTGCCCGTTCACTAAAGTACATCCCCAGCCATTTTGTTTTTTCTTTTACTTAATTTTTACTTTGAGATGGGGTCTCAATAGGTGGGACTTGAATTTACAATTTTGTTGCCTTGGTCTCCCTAAGTGTTAGGATTGCCAACGTGCACCATGACACCTAAACTGTTTTTCTGTTTTCTTGATCGATAGATGTTCTAGAATTTGGGGACAGATGTGATATCTTAGTCCAAGACACTGAAGGATCTGTAAAATTTAGGAGATTATGAAAAGTGAGGAATAGATAATTTCTTTCTTTGCCACAGGAGACACTGATGGATAGATCCTAGAAAATGAGTGTTTTGTGTGCTACACACAGTTGGCTTCTTGGTGGAAAGGACAGGCAGACAATAATTTTTTGGTATACACTAACCTCAGAGAATCATATACCTGTTATATGTTTTCTAGCTCTTTAGGACTCCATGCTAAGGACCCTAGGCATTTGCTGGGAAGCAGATTAGGAACAGGGTCTCTGCTGCAGAGTGCTGAGTACTGAGGATCTCTGGGCCCCAAAGGGTTCAAGTTACTTAGATCTAAATGCTGCCAATAAAAAAGGCATTGGCTTCTGAAATCTAAAAGGCAGGCCGTGTGATTTACACAGGTTGGTAAGGACTCCTTTTGCAGGCATTTGACAGCACTGCCTAACCCAGCCCACAATGATGCGGGAGGAATTGAGAAGACACTAAGATGTGAGGATCTCACACGGTCCCCACCCCTTTGAATGGTCCTCAGCTTGCCACTTTCAGAAGAAAAGACTGCTGCTCTCCTTTTGCATCTTCTGGGAATCACCCTGCGCTCTAGGACAGAGGAACTGATTCATTCCAATGCAAAGAAGAAGAAAAAGCATTTGGAAAAATTCACATGAATAATTTCCCCAAATCCCATTAGGACTCAACTATGATTCACAACGTAAGTAAGAGAGAAAGTTCCCATGTTGAGGTGAAGTGGTGACAGTGGGTAAGGGAAGACAATCTAACTTTCATTTTGAAAACTTTCTCTCCACGTAACCTTTCTCCCTGCAGTAGATTCCCATATGGAAGAGAATCTACACATAAAATATTCTACAGCTTAAGTTTCGGGAAATGATACATTTTCACTTACCTCTTGCTCTCGTTTAGACTTGGGGTGTCCCCGTCATGTGTTTGGAAGGTGAATGGATCATGGCAGTGGATTCCTCCCTCAGGGAATTCAGTAGCTAAGTGTGCACTCAGGGTGTGGAGGAGGCTGAAGTGGGGGGTCCCCTGGTGTATCTGAATGAGGACACCTTCCTCCCCCGCTCCTCCCTTCCTTCTCTGCCTCCTGGCCACAAAGATGTGAGTGGCTTTGCTCCAAGACAGACCCTTCCCACCGTGCTATTCCAGTATTTGATCCTGCCCACCATGGATTGAAAACTTGAGCCAAGATAAACCTCTGTCCTTTCAGTTAAGCATGCTGGGTATTGTGTCCCAGGGATGAGGTGGTGATTAAAATTCCTCTACGAATTTTTCCCCCACCAAGTCGAAATATTTTTTGAGAAAATATGCATGATACATAACCTTCAAAATTTGAAAGAGCAGTACTTAGAATATTTCTATGGACACTGAAAAAACAACAGGAGCATGGAGGAATAGAATTTGCTGTTTCCAAACTAACAAACTTCAGTCACAAAGGATTTCTTACCATGATACCCGTGTGGAGCATTATGTAATGCACGGTTTGGGTGACATCAGCTGCATGAATCAAATTGTGATAGGGATTTTTGTACTTGCTGTAACCAACTTCCAAAGCTTCTGCAAAGGCAATTAGGCAAGAAACAGGAATCTGTGGAGAATAATAATTATAATTACATCTTGCCCAAGAGAGTGTCACCACATCAGCATGAGTATGGCATTTGGGGTGGGACACATAAGAGAGTCAGATGTCAGCAGTGGTTTCTTTAAGTTGAATGCAGATGTTCTGAAAACTGTCACTAATGTATTAGCTTTCGATCCCAAGAAGTATTGCACTCTCCAAGTATTTAACTTGGATAATGAACTGAAAGCTTTAAATTTTTATATTTTCTAGAGTTGGGTAAGAAGACATTCTTAAAGGGGTAAAAGTTTCCAACTACAATTGGTGGAGTCCAATTATCCTGTCCATAATACAAGTGGGCTACAATGCGCACTCTTGGTCCTTTCTAGGTCCAGTAACACCACTTTTAGAGGAAAGGATGAAGGTTACAGGCTGCAGACTACTCAAAAGTATAGGCCAAGTCCATTGCTTAGATGGTTCCAAATGAAGTTAATTAGAAGTCCTATAATTTCAGTTTAAGAAAACCTGTTAAAATAGGTTCTATTTTTTTAAAGAAGAATGGAGATCTATTATATTACTTTGCCATTGCTTCCAATCTTTACATGATTATTTTGTGAATAATATGGGCAATGCTAGTATTTGTTATATACTGGCTCCACCACTTTCCAGGCATATACATCAAAATGTCAGTGTGTTACAGAGACTGGTTCTACCACGTGATGACCTCAGCCCCCTTGTTCTGTGACCTGCTAACTAGAAACATACTAAAATGTATGGATGAAAGCCCAACATTCGCATTTTCATTTTTACGCAAGCAACCAATTTTAAGAACATTAAATGTTCATCCCACATTTCTGACCTTGAAGCGGTTCATAAGATCGTATCTGGTAAACAGTTCATAAATCATAAACTTCAGACTATGTTCTCCACTTGCTTCATTTAGAGCAAATACATCAAAAGACCATTTATCAACATCCTGTAGAAAAAAGAGTAAACACATTAGGGGGAAATATCATATAGTGCCGAAGCTTTTGATGGAAAATTATTTGAAAAATTAGGTATTGTACCATCTGCAGGTCATATTTCACTGAAGAATGTTAGGCTGTATTTTACCAGGCTCTGATATGACAGGGGCACAAGTGAGGATATTGTGTATAGTAAGCTGCAAGACCCACACAAGCCACTGTCGAATGGCTTGGAATTTCAGCACGAGTCAGTAGTTTGGCTTAAAACCTTCATGTATTCTGTCCTTTTCTGGGAAACAACTAGTAGACAGAGAGAGAATATATGCTATCTTATTATTTCTGGGTAGGTGGGTCACCTACGGGTGATAAAAGGAAGTGGGTCCTTCTCTTGAGGAGGGAGGATAGTAATTTTGCCGTTTCACGCAGTTTGTAGGGAAGCAAGCCAACCCACAGGGAACAGGTACTCTGGGAAAGAACCCTTACAGGGGCAGCCGGAAGCAGGGGTGTCCAAATGCTTCATAATTTTGCCTTTAAAATGCCTTAAGAAGCACAGTATTCAGACGGAAACATTGAACTGTCAGCAAAGAAGTTCCAGCATTTTTTTTTACAAGCAACAGCTTTAATATTGAACAATATAAACAGACAGCTTGCTTTAAAGTCATACATTAATTTTGCAGTTAAATGGAGCTTATTAGTTTCCTTTACCTATCCCCACCTCAATACCCACACTGGGGATTAAATCCAGGTCCTTTACATTGACCATGGGACACTGCCAGACCCTTCTTTTAGTTTTTGAGACAAAATATTGCTGAGTTGCTAAATTGCCCAGGCTGAACTCAGATTTGCAGTCCCCCTGCCTCAGCTTTCAGAATGCTGGGATCACAGGCCTATGCCATCAGGGCACAGTTCAATTGCCTTGTTAGCATGCTTATGAATATCAGCTGTCATGTGCTAAAACTTAACTGAAAGTCTCATAAAAAGTATTTCAACCATTTCTTTTAAAACAATTTCCTTTGAAAAATAAAAATAACAGACTCAAAAGGTACTTTCAGTCACTTGAAATTACACACCAATGAAATGTTTCGGTTTACTTGTAGACCATTGTAAAATTCCTTCCATTTGCTCTAATTAGATCCCAAAACACTGGCTTAATCTCTTTGTAAATTAAAAAATCTTTCCTAGAGGTTTCGTGTAAAGGATTTTTGCTGTGAGGAAAGCTCAAAAGAGGCCAAGGAATCTTTTATCAACTTCCAAAGTCAACAGGCAAGAGTGAGCATGAACTCTCTCAAGCCTGCTCAGAAGTTGCAGCTAGGGGGCTCCCCCTGAGTAAGCAGTTAGGTTTCTGTCCCTCAGGGAGTGTCAGGAATGGCAACGATTCACATGTGTGAACTTCCACGCTGTGTGCGGCCTCTGTACTGTTAGGCTGAGCACAAGACAAGGATTTTTTCAGATAAAAAGTTATTAAACTAAACTATTCTTCACTGGTGATATTTCCTCCCTCAAACTCTTACTTGATGTGTTTTATGAAACAGAATTTCAGAAAATCACATTTTTTGTGAAAATAATTTCAGACTTTTGTGTTTTGTTTGTTTTGCCATACTGAGGAATGAACCCATGGCTACATCCCCAGCCACTTGTATTTTCTATTTGGAAATAGGGTCTTGCTAAGTTTCCCAGGTTGTGCTTAAATTTGTAATCCTCCTGCCTCAGCCTCTTCAGGTGCTTGGACTGCAAGCATGAAATACCACATGGACCTTTAGTTGGTTTTTAAACAAAAGTTTTTAAAACGAAGAGTATAAAAGTAAGTATTTTTCTTGCATATTGTTGAGGAAATAATAAGAAAGACAAAATCTCTCAAGAACAGAGGATTAATTAATATCTTTTAATGCAAGATTTTACTTATATCTATGTTTTTATTGTAATTTTAAAAACCTAAGAAGCATCCAAGATGAATACTTTTTAAGTTAATAATTTAAATTTAATATCCCACAGAGAAAAGCCAAATGTAAAGAGGATATTTAAAAGGAAATTAAAACACAAAAAAAGCAATGTAAATTTAGATTAGGAAAATAACAATCAGAAATAAAGCAGCCTAAGATCATCTATCTGTTGCTTGTAGCCTTTAAAGTCTTGGCTAATACAGCACAACGACCAGGAGACAAAATTGAATTCCCTCAACCAAAATAAGAGACCGAAGAAATAAGAAATTTGGGGGCTGAGCCAACAAATTATTCTGTAGAAATAATAGCTGGACAAACATGCATGTGTCCAGACATAGAAAACGAGGACAAGAGAGCCCCAAATTTTCCTATTTTGGAGCACTGATTCTAGTTACTTCTCACATGTGTAATTCTGCAATTGCACCTCGGATTTGAGCAGTGTCAAGAAAAGTCAGAGGTAAAAAGGAAACATTTCTTTTGTCCATAATTTTATCTTACATTTAGTATTTTTCTCCTGTTTAAGAATTTAATCATTTTCTTACATAGAAGTTTTATCATTTAAACATAACTCACCAAAAGATCTGTTTTGCAATGCATTGATCTCTTCCCTAACACGAGTATATACATAAAAAAAAAATACTCTGTGTCTATTCTGACAAGTACTGGTGCCACCACAAAATGGAATTCAAGATGCACTTAAAGCATGAAGAAAAAAATCGACAGGCATGAATACAAACCAACATGCATGTATATTCACTGATCGAGTTCTTAGTGTAAATAAGCCTCATGTAATTCTACGGAGTTTGGAACAACTTGTAGGAGGTGCCATCAGCATCTATGGTGAATGTTTCAGTAAAAAAATTGGTTACAGTAAAAGACACATTGCCCTTAATCCCCCTCAAAATATACCCCTGGCTTCAGACAGACTCGTCAGCCCTTCCCACTGCTTTCTGAAACAGTTCTAGGAGTCCTCTTTTGTGAGTGGGGTTCAGGGATGTGATCAGAAATACAGGGAATGGGGCTGCCACCCAGTTCCATCCTATGGAAGAAAGGCTGGCAGGAACATGACTGTGTGTTCTCCTTCACCTGATTCACCATAGCGACCCTCATGCGACTTATTTCTTGCTGTTCCCCAAAGCCAAAATGACCATAAAAGGGAAATGCTTGGAATTGATTTAGGATATCAAGACAACCAGAATATCACATCCAAAGACACTCACGGAAGAGGACCACCAGAACTTTTCAGAGCGTGGCAAGAATGAGTACAGGTGACTGAATTAGAATTTAATACACTGTCAGAAAGATATCAGGTCCTTGAGGAGGTCAACACAGACGATAAGCCACATACAATCTGTGGCTGGAGGTGAACCGTATAGAAGGCTCAAGCTGGGGATGCAATAGCCAGGCCTCCACGCCTCCCCGGAGATAAATAGCAACCTGAGATTGTACTGTCATCAGCACCATCTGGCCCAGTGGTCCAGTTGGTCCTTCATGGACATTAGACCCATAGGTGGGTGACCAGAACATCTGGACCATTTCTTTCCTACAACTTACTTCTTCCATGTACCTCTGCTACGTGACTCACTTCATTTGGATGAGTATTAGTAAGCAGCTATTCGTGTTATCCTACAGGCTGCCTGGCGTTTGACCCTCATCGTAGCCAAGATGTGATCTTGCTGTATAAATTACTCCTAACAAAGAACCTTCATAATCACCCACTCTTGGAAGTCCAGGAGCTATTGTTCTTCTCTTTATTTTCAGTAAAACTCCCCTAACTTTCTCCTTTGCTTCAAACTTCATTCCCTAATGTTGGGAGACCACAACATCAGCACATCTGCCATCTAACATTGGGAGTTACTTTCCCAAACAGAATGGTGTGGAGGAAGGGTATTTTGGAAGAGGAGTCAATGTCAAAGTGTCTTTTATTGTAATACATTAAAAAAAAAACCCTAAACAATAGCTGTAATTTTCGATCATACCTTGTATTGTATAAATGGTTAAAATAGTTTTCACATTCCAACATGTAGGCTGCAGCAAACAACTACCTATTTTTCCCCCATCCACTTACAGAAGATTTTTAGAAACAACTTTTGTAAATGAAAATAATTGAAATTATTTCACCTTTAATGTTACTATGACAGCTGCTGGATATGCCAAACCAACCATGTGGTAGTTTTTCCTGTACATCCTAAAAAAATAAAATAAAATTAAGTGTAAAAATAAAATTAATTTGTTTCAAGTTTTGAGCTATTTCTTAAATATAAGGGAAAAGATTATTCTTGACTCCTTTACTTTTTATCACTCCATTCATGGCAACAATGGTAACTACAGCCAGCATTTATCCATCTACAGTGACAAATATCAACAGCACTCTGTGTACTCATAACCATCTTACAAAGTTAATTTGATTTTAGATCCCGGTAAGAATATCTTTTGCTGAATTTCATCTGAATAAAAGAGGGATTGTAGATTCTCATGTGTCACTACATCCATCACAGCAGGACATTCGTCTATGTCCATCTATGTGCCAAAAGTTTTGGACTAGAAGTTGAATGTCATGAAAATATTTTCTCTCTAGATTTTCATTTCTACTCTTTGCAAAATGGAATTATAGGAGGGTACATATAGCATCTTCACGATTTATCCAGCTTCATTTTTGTTGTTAAGAATACTGGGAGAGTCTCTACTGACAGAAATTAAATTTTTTCAAATTGTCATCCAGTATTATGTAAGAAAGTTCAGAAAGTAAACAAATTTCTATTTGCATATTAATAAATAACAAAAATATTTTTAATCTGGCAACTTGAAAATTATTTGGTTTTTTCATTTTATGATGGGAAAATTAACAAATTAAACATGAGATGCCCTCCACGTAATTCATGTGAGTGCAAAATCCAAAGCTACCATGATGTGCACAAAAGTCAGTGGCTTCCATGTGGGACCATGATGAACTCTTTCACCCAGCCTTGGGAAGAAATAGTTCACCTGAGTCCCAATCATGTACCTTAATTTTATATCAGGCTAGTGTACAAAACAATCATGTTCCTAGGCAATATTGCTCCTTCCTAAATGTCTGGATGATGTGCTAATTTAATTAAATATAACCATAAATATGGTCCATATTAGAAAGTCCTATGAAAAACATTTTGCATCTTTTATAAAATCAAGGTGGAAGACTTTAACCTTTTTGAATCAGTACACTCTATGTTAAAAACCCAAGACACTTACTCAATTTCTATGTAAATTTTTAAAAAGACAATAAGAATCATGTAGCTCATCACATTTACTTGGTAAATCTTGAATTCTTTGAAGCTCAAAATTCTGATATGGTTTTTAATGATATCTCTAACCTAAACTTACCTGTCTTCCCATTTGATCTCAAAAAATTTTGTTACTTTATTTTTCTGCTTCAGTTTTATGTTTATTTTAAATGACTATAGTCATTTTTGGAAGCAAGTGACCGGGTTTAACAAAAACTCATCCTTTATCTTCATTGGAAGATTTGAGGCTAGTTTATGAATAAAAACACATTCATTACTCCACCGAGATAGATGTAAGCATTCTAATCCTGCTGAGAATGAAAGTAGAAAACACACCATGAAGGATGGAGAAAATGACAAGGTGGACCCTTAGTTGTAGGATTTATGTGGAACAAGCAGCCTTTTCTACTTATTTTTCTTTTCATTATTGCTTTAAAAATCGTGATTCAGGGGAAATTGAAAGGGCAACGAAGAGGGGAAAGCTCAGTATAAAACCCAAGAAGGAATAAGAATTTTTAAAACATTAAGTGATATTAAGTTGGTTTGATTTCCTGGAACAGAAGGGATTGTAAGCAGAGACTAGAACACAGGCTTTGAATCGCAAAGCAGACACATGCTCTGTGACCTTTTGGACATTATTTAATGTTGTTTGTAAAATGAGAATTATCAGCTTCTTATGAGGAGCAAAGGATATACAGGCCTGGCATAAACAAAAAATAAAAAGATATAGAAAACTAGGATGATTTTCTCATTGGTCTGTAGCCAGTTCCCTGAGTCACACAGCTCACAGTTTTTTCAGGGTTTCCCAGGGAATCTTAGTGAATCTCTTAGTCTGGAAGTAGACTGATAAACGAGTATCTTTGTACTTTATCATCTAAGCAACCAAAAGACACAAAGGATCATCCTAGGAGAGAGAGAAAGTTCCCCATTACCATGCTTTTCTGACCCTATCATCAGGAGTAGAATGCTAGGATGAAAAATTAGAAATAGAAAATTAAACAGAAATGAAGATGATTTCCCTGGAATTGAAGATACAGAAGAAATCTTTAATCTAGTGGGCCCCTTCTGTAAATATATGATATATTAAAAGTGTTTCTGAGAAATAGTAGTGAATTTCTTAGGAACCTACAAGTAAGTAATGAAGTCTAACTGAAAAGATGGTGGATTAATTTTGGAAGTTTTCAATCTAATTACAATATGTAATTTAGAAACTTAGGAAAACCTTTTACCAGGCACTGTGCTAGGGGACAGATTACTTAGTGGAGAACAAGAAAAATATATATACTAACTCAAGGCAGTTATTATAATGTGAAAAAGGAAGAAAAAAGCACAGCATGCCTCCAAGGGGTGGTATTTCAGAGGTGAGTTACTGGGGTGCTTGGGACTTTCAGAGTGATTAAGCAAGGGCTCTGGAATGATAGAAATCACCTGCCAGTGCTGCAGCGGGGAAGAATCATTTCTCACAGGAAGAACGGAAGGATTAATGGCTCCCACACAGGAGGAAGTTGAGAAATGTTCTTAGGATTGAAAGTAGGCTAGTACTGATAGTCAGGCAAGGACAGCTAAAAAGTAAGAGGGGCCTGGTTAGGCAAGGCCTGGTCACTGAGTGAAACAGGAAACCATCAAAGGGCTTTAACTTTAAGGGTGACAGGACCCAATTTATAATTTTACAGGATCGCCGTGAGTGCTGTGTGGAGAGGAAGGAGGAAAAGGTGGCCCAGGGAGAAAGTTACTGTAACCTCTGCTGACAGATAAGCAGGCCTAGGCCCTGAGGGTAAGGCGTAGTTCCAGGCCCATTCAGGCTGACTGACAGGACTCCCTGAAGTGCTGAATCCTGAGAGGGAAGTGTCAGGAGAGGAAGCCACAAAGCTTCCAGAAGACTTAATTTTCAAGATTGGAGATAATTATTTTTTAAAAATTCAAGACAAGCATGTCACTAGTGAAGATAAAATATATTTTATTTCCAAATGTTTTAAGGATATCAATTTTAAGGTTGCTGACTTATTTAGTTACCTTCAGTATATTTTTTTATTCCTATATTCCTAATTTGTTTGGAGCAGTATATAAAAGTGGAAATTTGGCACATCAATGCATTTTATCAAATTTTTCATCTTGTCTTGAGCAGAAATGCAAATTCACTTGATTTTCATGCAGTTTTGTATTTCTCTTTGGTTTGCCTAGTTCTGTAATATTTTCTTAAATGAAGGAGACAAAATATATATTCCTTCAGCAAATCAAACATGCTCTTTTGTTTGTGATTCTCTCACTGACTTTTTAAAATTCTCTTTAGATATTTTTAATTTGGTGCTATGGGAAATAACCTTAACACTTGCCTGTGTTGTTTCAAAAAATAGAAATATGATTAGAGAGAGCACCGAATCCTAGCCACTAGACCATCAGGGAGGGAAGATGATTAGAAATGTTCTTTCTCCTCAGCCCTGGCTCCTTGCTGTAGACATAATGGTCCCAGTGCAGAACTGGGAGAAGCTTATTCACCAAGAGGGTAGCGTCAGATCACAAACCAATCACACTATTTCTAGTGTACTTTTATCTAAGCCAATTAGATATGGCTAAGACATTTGAAAAGTAATTTGAATAATCACTCAGATGTTATTTTAGATGATATAGCCACAATACAAGACATTAGGAACATCACATGCTGTGATTATAATACGTCTTTAAATTGCATAGTATTCTTCATGTAATGCATTCTCATTTACATTTTTAAAACCCATGTCCTTCCCACTTTCCCTTAAGAGAGTTAAAGTTTGTAAAGTTTTTTGGAAATAATGGCCACAAATATGAAAGGAAAATTGCCATAGTCTTCTTTAAATCTGAGGTATATCCCACCCTAAAAATCTTTGTTTCTCGCTTTCCTTAGTTTTTAAATAATTTTTTAATATACAACAATATCATTTTTTAATCTATAGGATTTTGATAGCTACTTTTCCACTTTGTTAGGCATATTTATTTTGAATATTATTTGTGGTTTTAGTTCTGAAACATCCTGTTTCCTAGAAAGAAAAATTAAGTGTTCTCTTAAAAGTTCCAAGAGTGCAGAACTGGCTTGTATTAATGCGTGTTTCACATTGGAAACCCTTGTGGTCTAGGAGCCATTGGATACCTCATTCCAGTGGCAGAAATGTGAAAGAAAAAATTATTTTCAAAGGTGGAAAAGACAATTCCTCTCATAGAGGAAAGATCTGTAGGACAGAAAAAGGCCTGCTTGACTTGGGCATGTAGATTGCTACCCACTGTAGAATTTATTAATGTACCTTTTATTTAGATGAAATTAGTTGTATAACACATGAATGTATTAGAACTATTTTTAAACAGTTATTCACAACCATTCATTTCAGGATTGTCATTCAAAAAATGCCTTTGCTTTCAGTCTTCATATTAACTTAATATAAATAAAAATAATACACTCAGGATAAGGTACTTTTTGTTATAGTTAAGTTTATCATAAAGTTCTAAATCTGATCATTCTAGTTGAATTTATGGTTGCGGTTTTCTTCCATGAGTAAAATAAAGTCCTCTTATACCTGTGATACAATGTTTGTATTTTCTGCCTTTTGGATCTTGTTGTCTTGAGATACCAACGTATTTGCCTACCTTTCCACAAAAATTCCAGCTTGGACAGCATGCACGATGCTTCGAAACTTAGGCTTTTCCTCTGGTTTCTTTTTTGTCATCCCCATTTTGCGTGTAAAGGTAGAAGCCAACCAGTCCCGGACTTCCGATGGGACAGAGTCGGTCTGAATGTCACTGAGCTCATCTTCAGTGTCCAGCAGTCTTCTACAGAAATTTATGCAGATGCAATAGTACAGAAAAAGTGAAAAAATATATTAATAAAATAAGCATCACAGTGGGACTTTTAAAGAGAACAGATCACTCTCTTATTGCTCCTTCATGTGGACAATTTAAAGAAAGAAAAAGTTGGGGGCTAACATTTAGAAAGCTCTTATTTTCTCAACTTGATCATTTTCTGCAGGCAAGAATTAAGACACAAATTCCCCAAAACTGAAGTACAATAACAATAATTTACGAGCCGCGGTAATATACCCACTCTAATAACACAACCTAGAGAAGGCAGGAAAGAAAATTCATAAACAGACGTCTGCTACTAAAGCCAATGAAGTAGAAGGCAAAAAGGGTGTTGAAGTCCTAACAACTGTCTTACATTTAATGATTATATATATACAATAGACACACACACGATAGCGTACATGCTTTTTGAGTAAGGTTTTGAGTTTCCAAAAGTCACTTGCAAATGCTATTTCACTGGATAAGTATCTCACAACTTAAAACAAAATAACCACATTTAAAATATTCTTTCTGGTGTCAACTTCCTAGATTTAAAAAAATGAAAATAGAGACAAATGGAAAGGACAGTAAATGAGTTGTGTTCCTCTAGATCCATGAGAAACTGATTCCGTGACTGCCTGACCCCTAAGGTACTCACATCGCCTGCTCAAGGCTGAGCTAAAATGGTGAGTAGAGTACTTGTATGTAATCTGTGCACGTCTTCCTGCATCCTTTAAATCACCTGTGCATGATTTATAGCACTGAATGTGCTATAAATGCCTTGTAGAGTTGTTACAATGCATTGTTTAGGGAACAATGACAAACAACGTAATTTGTACAGTTTTGGGATTTTTTTTTTTTTTCTGAATGTGTTTGATGTGCATGCATTCGAATCTCAGATGTAGAGCTCTGTTTTTTTTTTTTTTGTTGTTTTGTTTTGTTTTGTTTTTTTTTGTCTTTTTCCTTTTTATCAGTACCGGGGATAGATGTAGAGCTTTGACACACAGGGTCAAATATATTTGAATCCTTATGTTAGGAGACTAGGCGAGGAAGTGGAGGAAACTCCAGGTAAGAGGCAAGTCTAGTTTCAGGGTGGAAGCTGGGTGGGGTTGGAGCTACAGGAAACCAAGAGTGTGAAGCAGTGGGCTGGACTTGACACCACTCCCCCTTGGTGTGAGCTCCAGGCAGAAGAGCTTAGTCTGCTGCCCTGGAAACGCAATGGAGAAAGTGTCCTTATTTCAAGGCCAGTCAGCTGCAGGAATTAAGAGCTCCCTACAGTTCTGAATGGGTAAGAATGTGTGAAAGACTCCCCACAAAATACAAAAGCAGCTTTGCACCTCAGCAGAGCTGTGCCACCTGGGAAAGCACAGGGCAGCTCTGCTTGTCCTGTGACTTGGTTATTTCCTCCTCCCTGCACCAGGTAGGTAAGCTTTGACCTTTAGGCTCCATTCACTTTGGCAAATGCCTCTGCACAGAATGAGGCCTTCTGGCTATGAGCTGACCGCAGAGAAGGTAGTCAGAGGTGGCAGACTTTGCTAAAGTCTCAGAGCCTAGCTCCACACCATGTCAAGGAGGCAGGGACAAAACAACGGGCAAAAAAGAACGAGGTCCGTGCAGTAGACCAAAGACAGGCTCAGAGAACAACCTTCCGAAGAGTAAATCCTCAGATTCTTCACATGACCTCCTAGCTGTATGCAGAACACGGTCACTTGCCAGTGTCTGCTTCACATGGTGTTCACCAGGCACAAACACTCCACAAAGAACAGCGCGATCTTGAGTGCCGGAGTCACAAAAGCACACCTATGCATTTCAAGTTAAAAAAAAAGACCTATTTGGATATTAGCATTCATTAATACTCACTTTATATTATTTTTAATTTGCTTTTGTTTCTTACGTTTGGATGACCTTGATTTTCCTTTAAATCGGCGATGCTGCTTTTTAGCACGAGACTTTTTCTTAGCCTTTTTGCCCATTTAAACGAATCCTTAGCCTGGTTTAGCAAGATCTGTACCACATAACTCAAGGATTTCATTACATGAAAGTTATGCCATTTCCCTTATCTGGCGTACGGATGTCAGATAAAAGCCCAGAACAGGTGGAACCTGAATCACTGTGCTGTAAGCCTGTGACATCACCGTGACCCCAACATTCCACTGCTGCTTTATTTCATCACCTGGTCTGACTATGTGCTAATGGTTGACAATTTCTCAATAGCAAATTTGGTACTGGTGGCTTTTGGAAAGTGCACCCTAAAACTTATAATGAACCATGATCAAACATGACAAAATCAATGCATGGAAAAAAACAGTCCTCATTTGAATGTACTATTCAGGATCTGGCGGTTTTTCATTATGAGGCATGGGATTATTTGTTGAATAGGAAAGAACATAGTTTCAGGGAAAAAGCACCATGAATTAATGACTGGGTATAGGAATAAAAGAAGTAAGTTGTACAGAAAAAAGCATGGAATGTGCTACGACAGAAGTGAAAAACACAAATCTTGAAAAAGCAACAGATATTTCTGTGGTGTTTAATTTGATGTGTCAACATGAGCCTCTGTGAAGTGCAGTGGTTTGGTCAAATACCAGGCTAGACGCCGCTGTGGAAATATTAATACTTCAGTCAAAAGACAGAGTAAAGCAGAATAGCCTCCGGAGTGGGGGTGGGCTTTACCCAATCAGTTGAAGGCCATAGGCAAAAAGGACATCAGGAACCCCAAAGAGAGAGGACTTCTGTGTTCAGACTGTGATATTAGTTCTTGCCAGAAGTTCCAGTTTGCTGGCCTGCCATACAAATTCCAATCCTGGACAATCATGTGAGCAGTTCCTATAATCAATCACTCTCTCTGTTATCTGTGAATACTGCATGGTAGCAATCAGTATAAACCAGATAGAAGATGAAGGCTCAGCTGCCCATGGATATTTGAGAGAGTGCATCAACCCTGGTTTAAAATATAATACTCTGGTTTTAAAATATAATAAAAATTGTACTTGCTTGTGTTTTGACACAGGGTTACGCTATGCAGCTCGGGCTGGCCTGAGTCTTCTTGTTCTGTCTCAGTTTCCCCACTTCTCAGATTACCACTAGACCCAGTTAGAGACCTCGTTTGTAATTGACTGAAACACATTTGAACATTACAGATCTAAAAGCTGTACTGTTTAGACATTTAAAAATATTATCGATTGGTCTCATTTCATATGGATGGAGATATACATATACATGTGTGTGTGTGTGTGTGTGTGTGTGTGTGTGTGTGTGACTGAAATGGAACCTCAGGCTTTCACACTGCTGCATTTCTAGCCTTCTCTTACCTTTCTTTTCTGTCCTTCTTTCTTTTTGTTTACTTGTTTTGAGACAGGGTTTACTAAGCAACTGAATTGCCTAGGCTGGGCTGCAAGTTGCCGTCCTCCTGCCTCTGTCTCCCAATGCTGAGATTATACACATTCACTGCCATGCCAGGCTGGGGTTAATATTTCAATGGAAAGACACTAACAGGAAGAGAAAGCTGATATAATGTGATTGATTACGAAAGGAAATGCTACTTCAGATGAGAAAGAGGGCCAGGAAGTCGTCACTTGAGTTAAGACGGAAAGAATAAAAATTACATAGAATTCAGTCTGGGAGACAGAACGTGCAGACAGAGGGCAAGCTAGTGCAGGGCCCTGGGCAGGGTCAGTACCAGAGTGTCAAAAGGACAGAGCAGAGGACACATGTGACCAGATTGTACCGTCAGGAGGCAAGTGTCAGCATCAAGCTTTAAAAGGATCTTGTCATATTTGCGATGGAAAATCATTGAGAAGTTTGAGCAGAATGGTATAATTTACATTCTGAAGGACCTCTCCGAATTCTTTTGGGGATTCTAAATCTAATGTTTTCACTTTGGTGGAGAGGCTACAATGACCTGGGCACAAATGCAAAAATGGTCTTTTATTTTGCAAGTTCGTTACTTTTCAAAGCTTTCATTACTAGGCATCATTTCTCCTGTACACCCTGGGATACCCTTTTAACACATTTCATGACTATTTTCTCAAATCATAACTACTCTTCTTCCCCTTGTCTCATTTGTGTGGTTTTGTTCTTTCAAAAAATAGAGTACGCCTATTACTGATCTCTTTTTTCTACTTTTCATGTCTATAATTGTTCCACTAAGACCTCTTTTTCTTAGTAACGCCTTTGCATGCATTCTGCTTTGGTTACCTTAATTTTACATTCAAAGTATTTTACTTGCAAACACTTCACTGTGTTTTTCATAATGTCTTTTAATTTTGAAAATGACTTTCTATAGTCTTCTCTGCCTCTTCTACTGTCTGGGTCATGTGTGCCCATTTTCAACTCTTCACATTGTATTATTTATGTTTAGAGCACCTAGATCTTTATATTACATTTACTACTTTTTCTACAGAAGTGATCATTAATTTCTTCAATTTACAGGAAAAGTTCCCAAATAATTTCATGTCTCTGGCGTATGTTGTTTGCTATGGTTTCCTGTCCCTTTTCCTTCCTTTGAATAGTATTTTTTCATGGATTCTGTTTTACTTCTTTATTGTTCAAGTTTGAAGGAGTGTGTTTTCTTAGTCAATCCGAAGAGTGAAGGGAAAGTCTGGGGAGAATGTATGCAAAGGACCAGAGGGATCCCAGTGTGAGCCAGGATGTGCGCCAGTGTCTAAGACGTGGTAGAATTTCCTGTCTGTCCACCCTACTGAGATGGAAAGTTACAGGTCAGCACTCAAAGATTCTACTCTGCTCCACAGCCCTGAGTCAAACAGCCTGCGCAAGTCTGCAGCTGGCATCCGTGCATCTGTCTCTGCTGCTCTAGAACTGAATGGGAAATGGGAAAGCCTCCATCGTCAGCCAGAGCTGCACGGGGATCTTTTTATTCTGGGGGGGGGGGGGAATTTCTGTGTTTTGTTTGAGAACCAGTGACCCTCTCTAAGCAAACTCCACTCTGTCCTCACTACCTAAAAATATTTACCCCAGATGATCATACATGA